AGTTGGGAGTTTTTTTTGCCCAGTATCTACAATTTTGACGGTTGACTCGCCATTTTTGTGAATATAGTCTCTTCAGAAAAAATAATATTTTGAACTAAGAGTATTCTTTTATCTGGATTATCCTCGTTTAATTCCTATACAAGTGTGTATCTAAAGGGTGCCATTTTTCAAGTTTGATTACTTATGTACCGTAGTTTTGCAAATATCGAGATCACGACTAACCTTATGAACAGAAGTGTGCGCATATTCTTCAATAGCAAGTAGAACATCTAATGTTGTATCATAATTTACAGAGGGACGACCTGATTTGCGTGCATTTTCAGCGGTACCAGTTTCTCGAATTTTTTTTTTCAATACTTACTGTTGACTGCGTTATGGGTCTTTCTGGATATTTATCATTAAATAAATTACACACTTCCATCTGAATTCTTTGCTTTACACTCAAATGCATTTCTACTTCAAATTAACTATAATTCTAATAATTCTTCAGTAATACAGAATATTCACGAATTAATAAATTCTTGTACTACTTAATTGTTATTGAACGTTACTAAAAATAATTACTTACATTTCACTAAAAACTGGTACTTAGTAGGATACTTTTTGCAATCGATAATAAATAATTTATTTTTTAAGCGCTTTTATTTTTATCTCTTTCAAGTTATATCCAGTAGAACCCAAGTATTTATACTATTTTGGAATCAGCTTATTTTTATCGATCTAAAAATGTCATAAACTTACATTACATTAAAAATGTACATTACATAAATGTGTTACATTAAAAAAAGAGAGCCGATGACGTCATCGCCTTAATGTGTATCAGCTTTTATAATGAAATTTTGTTGTAGAATTTAAAACATTAAACTTAAAAAATCAATGTGTTTTAAATTTTTTTAAAAAGGTTTTTCATTTAGGAAATATCGAATTTATTCCATACTTTATGGACACACTGTATATTAAACATTATTTAGCTAATACGAGTAAGTACTGTTTTAATTTTAAAAATTGTATACTGAAATTTTTACAAAAACTACGAGATAACTGTAAGCTTCATATTTTAAAATTAGTTACAAATATACAGGGGTTTTCATAAAACTGTACGCATCAAATATTACGTTGATTTTTAATAAAACACAATGTATTTAAAAAGGCATAACTAAATTTCAATAAAAATCGTATTAAGTTCAACGTCCTGTATAATTGAAAAGGCATACAAAAGCAACGATCTGTTGTAGCCATAATTTTTAAATGATTGTCATAATTCATAAAAATATTAGATTTTGCTAATACTCTTTAACACTAATACAGGTTAAGTCAAAATACAAATTCATTATTTGCTGAGTATTTTTACATGCATCACCCTGTATTTTATATTATCATCATAAACTGAAGTCAATGTAGTTTAAATTGTCTTAAGTATTTTATATTTTTTGCCATATGTGACGATAATGAACCACCAACACCATAGTTAACGACAAACGAAGAGGTAAATATTGAGGAGGAAGAGGTAAAGGAAGGATTAAGGAAATTAAAAAATAGAAAATCACCAGGAGAGGACAGAATACCGAACGAACACCTTAAGTACGGAGGACCAGATCTAATCAAACAACTACCAAAACTAATCCAAAAAATAATAGAACAAAACAAAATTTCTCAAGAATGGAGATCAAGCATCCTAATAGAAGTCCGATATGTCTTCCTTCAAAAAGGGAGACAAATCGGACCCAGAAAATAACAGGGGAATTAATTTATTAAACACAACACTAAAATTAACAACCAGAGTGATAACAAATAAATTGAATGAAAGGATAACACTAGCAGAAGAACAAAAATTTTAGGTCGGAAAGATCATGAACAGACGCTATATTTATAATGAGAAAGTACAAGAGAAATCATTAGAATACAACAAACCGGCATATCTATGTTTCGTGGACATTACAAAGTCATTTGACCGGGTCAAATTAAAAGTCGTTATCCACTTACTGTACGCAGGAGAGATACTCTAGGAATAATCAAAACGATCGAAAATATCTACCAAAACAACACAATAAAAGTAAAAAGTAGAAGAACAGGGAGATTCATTGAGTCCTCTATTGTTTAACCTGATTATTAATGAAATAATAAAAAAAGTAAGAAAGAAAAAATCCCGAATGGGAGAAAAACAACTTAAAATAAAATTCACAAGGAAAATAAATTCCTGCAGCTGGCTGTATACCAAGTATCACAAAAAAGAGTTTAAATCTTTGTAAGTGCGTATATTTAAAAAACCCTTAAAAGGGCTACATCAAATTAACAAACGTTTTCGGAATAATAATTCCATCATCAGGTTAAAAACAGGTTAACATGCCTGAGCTACCAAAATATTAGGGTAAAAACCGTTTAAAGCAAATAAGGTTACAAAAGATTGTACATATTGTTGTTAAGAATTATTGATGTTTAATATTTTATTATATTATACTTCAGGTAACATACACCCATGTCTTACGTGAGTACCAACGTCCAGAGAGTAAACCTCTTCAAACGGACTTCAGCTGGTAACTGTAACTTAAAATTATTTGCTATGCAGATGACGCAATACTACTACTGTCTCAAAGGAAGATTATTTACAACGTATGCTGCACCAATTTGATATAACCGCCAGAAAATTTAACATGTTAATTTCCCCAAAAAAGATAAAATGCATGAATACAACAGCAAATTTACAAAACAAAGATGTAAATTGGAACTGGAAGGTTAGATAATAGAACAAGTGATGCAGTTTAAATATTTAGGCATCACATTAACTAGCTACGGAAAGCTCGAAACTGAAGTGAAAGATCAAGTGAATAGAGCAAACAGAGCCAAGGGCTGCCTGAATGAAAAATATGGATACATGAAAACATCGGCAAAGAAATAAAAGGCAGAGCATTCACAAAACAGGCATCAGACAAATAATGACATACGCGGCAGAAACACGACCTGACACAAAGAGAACAAAAAGGATGTTAGAAACAGCAAAGATGAAAACACTTGATGCTGACACTATGAATCAGAGCTAGAAGTACAAATATACGACGTAAATGCAAGGTGGAGAACATCAAGAAATAGAAGAGTAGAATGGAATGATCATATAAGCTGAATGACAAATAGAGTAGTAAAAACAGAAAGAGAGGATTCCCAACAGGAAAACGATTAGTAGGAAATTCCACAAGGAAAACAATTCCTGTAGCTGGCTGTATACCACGTATCACAAAAAAGAGGTTGTCTTCGTAAATGGGTATATTTATTTAAAAAAACATTGCTGTTATTATTTTTTAAAATCATCAAAATAATTTTTTGAATCTTTTGGCTGTAGTAATACAAGGTATAACTAATATAGTTCCATGTTACATTGACATTTTGTTTTCGACACCGTTCATAGGTATATTGTCAATCAGTTTCCAGCTGTTCTTCGTGTGTAGAGGTTTACTATCCGGCTCTGGAACTCACTTCAGCCATGTATGTTACCTGAAGTCATATTTAATTTAATACTGAACATCACAGTTTTTTAACAACATGATGTATAATCTTTTACAACTATATGTAATTTAAAGGGTTTTTTACCCATGTATTTTGGTGGCTCAGGCATTTTAACCTAGTAAGTATAACCATTTTTGCTTTTTAACCATAATCAAAATTTCATAACCACGTTTGTTTTAACTAAATGGTTTATACTTATTTTAGGTAATTTTAAAATTTAAACCTGATGATGGACTGTTTAGTCCGAAAACGTTTGTTTTTTATGTAGCCCTTTTAAGGGTTTTTTAAATAAATATACCCATTTACGAAGACTAACCTCTTTTTTTGATTAGTAGGAAGACCACGAAAACGTATGAAACGACGACTTACTGGAGGCATATTGAAAAACAGACAGAGTCATGTCTATCATGTCTACATAACAAGAAGAAAGAAGAAGAAGATTTAATAGCCATACCATGTCTACCAGTTCTTCTATTTGAAAATTCATTGTTGACAGTTGTAAAATAATTAAAATTGAAGATAATGCCAAACCCATTTAATTTTAAACTGAATTGTACTACTGCGAAACATAGCTACGTAACAAATTTAATTTTAATGATACAGAAACTCATTTCAAACACCTTCTACAATGAAAATAACAATTTATAAATTTTTTTATGTGATTTTAAGATATTTACAAGTAGAAAAGTAAATAAAAATAATAAACTTAATTCTTGAAATACCCCTTTTTCCAATACAATTAAAAATATACCTTAAACTATTATGTATAATAGGCATAAGAAATACTTACAAAAAATTATAACTACATTAACTTTGTTAAAGAGATCGTTGCTTTTGTACCCCTTTTGACCCTTAAAATACAAAACAACTTTGATTTTTGTAACAAGGAAGTGAAGCTGATTTTAAATTTGAAATAAAAACAGGTTATTTCATAAAAAAAACAATACGGTACAGTTTTATGTAAGACTCTGTATATTTATAACTAATTTTAAAAGGTGAAGCTTATAGCTATAATACCTCCTATTTTGTTTAATACCTTTTTTGGTATCTCCTATAAATAACAGATATTAACGGATTTTGTCACAAAAATTGATCAAGCAGTTATGTTTTTTTTTAAATAACGGAAATACATGGTTTGCTTGTTGATTTTCCTTCGTAAATTTTTAGAATTGCCTATTAAAGGGGTATTCAATATAATTTCGTAATTAACTGTAACTTTTAAAAAGGTTTTATTTAAAATATTATAAACATCTTTTTAATTTTTATTATTTGCCTAGACTTGAAAAAATATGGTATGAAACGTATGTACTTGTGCATAAACTATTACTATCATTACATTATTTGTTTCCATACGACTAATTAATTGTCATGAATGTTATTATATATTCACACATCACATTACATTCAAATTAAAGAACAAAATGAGGGAAACGATTTATTTTAATGAAGGTTGCCAGATTCTAATTATCATATTGTATAAACTTTATGATGCATGTACTTACCACATGACCCATTCTTCCGAGATACTTCATTTTATCTTGTACGATTGACACTTGTTTCATATACCAATCCCTGGCTTTTTCCACCGCACTCAACCCTTGCATTAAAACTTCCTTTTCTTGTTCTATTTGCTTCATTCGTTTTAACATGCTATAATCAATGCCGTTTTGTAATGTATGCCTTCTCGGTTCCCTCCTTCTTGGATTAGGTTTTTTCTGATAAATTCCTCCCTGCACCCCTTGTACCTCACCCTGCATAGCTGCTTTCCCGTCTCCCATGCTCCTGCTGGTTCTTAATAAACCTCCGTTATATTGTGGTCCTTGGCGTTTCTCGCCGTTTTTGTTTTCTTGGTCATTCATCATAACGCCCATTTGCCAATTTTGTAAAGCCGTTCGTATTTCAGCCCTATCAAGGTTTCCCGCTGTTGCCGCTCGTTCCAAGCCAACGGCAGAGCGGGGAGGCTTTGGAGGACCGAAAAGCATGGGTTTGTTTATGTTCGGAACTGGTTTTTCAAATGCGTGTTTATCAACGGTTTCTACACTTCCTTCTTTTCGTTCTGGCAAAAGTTGTGGCATCGACAGGGTTCGTTGTTGTGTTATAACATTGTTAGGACGTATTGCTGCCGTGTTACCCCAATTTGGTGGTTTTGGGGGGTTGTCTATGTCAAGAAGTGGGGCTGAAGGAGGGCGGTTAGGTTTTACGTTTATGGGTTCTTGAAGTTTCGCGTCCCTTCGATCAACTTGATTTCTCAAGAGACATATTTTAAGTCCAGCACAAAATCTCTCAAAGGATAACATACCATTCGATGGGGTGACTTTCCTGAGGCTTTCTATAACGCCCTTAGGCAATCCTTTAGTGTTATCATCTTGCCATCTGTTTTCTATTTCGGAAAAACTAACAAATCCTGTGTGTTTATCGTCCATAATGTCGAAAAGAGTACGCATCGCACTCACGAATTGTTTTGGTAGACCATCGAGGGTGGACGAGGGCGATGACATAGTAAGAAGCACTCCCTCACTTAAGTAACTTATTCACGAAAACACTGTTCACTGGCACCGCGCTCGGACACTGCTCGGGTTGCTGCTCGGCATGCAGCGGAGTCTGCGACTGAGAAACGTTAGAGACGTGGCCAGCGAACCAGGTAAAAGGTGAGTTATACCACAAGAATGGGCATTTGAACATAGGCGTAGCCGATCGCTTTGTTTTAGGAATTTGTCCGTTGATGCAAACTAACGGCGCGTGCGGAGCTAAACGCGCGGGAAGGCACTGAATGTGAAACAATTTTTAACCATTTCTAAAATGGATATTGGACGTCTTAGATACAAATTTTAGGAATTAAGGAATATTTAAATAAAATTTTTTTTCTTCTCCAAATCGTATAAAATTGACAAACTGTTAACAAGCTTTGTGAGCTTTGTTTTTGATATCAGACTGGTTGCTAATTAAACTTTACAATATTCACAAAAAAGTAAAATACAGAATATGTAGAAATATGAAAAATTAAAGATGAATTTTCCAGAAAATTTCAGATGGAAAGGAATCGAGAAATTAAAGAATTGGAACTTCCATTATCATTATTAAAATTTAGATGTATTTTAGTGGTATACCTGCAAATATTATTTAAGTAAATCACACTATGTAAATCTACTGATTGTAAGTAAAATAGAACAATTTAACGAAATTGAATATTATTAAAAGAAAAAACTCGATCAAACATATTGGCTTTGAACATTGGGAATAATTCTTTGAGTTCTTCTTTATAAATTATAGCATTTTTGTAGAAAACGATAACGAAGAATTAAGAGTAAATCGACGTAAATAAACTCACATATATAGGTATAAAATAACTTTAAACTATTGTGGCAAATAGATGATCGCAGATACATACAGGAGTATTTGAGAGTGTGAATTGACTACTAGTAACCCGAAACACATTACTCAAACTAATAATAAAAATAAAAGTATAAATATTCTGTGCCGAAAATGACTGAAGGATCGAAAAATATTTGTAAATAAAAAGGGAAAAATTACTCAAGATTTTTACTCAGAATTGTATAAACGAAAAGAACTTCCAGATCCTAATCAAAGTCAAATAGCAAAAGTCCAAAATGTAGGCTCGGAAGACAGATATCACAACAGAGGAAATCAAAAGAATTCTCTCGAAAATGAAAAACAATAAATCATCTGGAGAAGATGGGATAATCATAGAACAAATTAAAGAAGGAGGAGAAACGTTAATAAGTGTGTTAAAAAGATATTCAATGTTTGTGTGGCAAGAGGCGTAACCCCTTCCAATGACAAAATGCAATTATAACCATAATGCACAAAAAAGATGACATTTCCTACCTAAAGAACTACAGACCTATTAGGTCTGTTATAGAGTTAATAAAGCTACAAAAATGCTGGAAACTCTCGATAAAGCATCAAAAACAATTGGTCTTAAAATTAACAGTACAAAAACAGACAGTCTTCGAAAGAAGACGGCGTATTAATAAGAAGTTGTTTAATGTTTACGTAGAAAAATCCTTAAAAAACTGAATGCCGATGAATGGCCCTATATGGTTTGGTTATTTAGTTAAAATAGAGGAATCAAGATGGTCAAAATAAATTTTCTCATGGAATCCTCCTAGAGGGAACAAAAGAGGTTAGTCTTGCAAGTTATAGTGTCAGGAAATAAATAGTTTTATGTGAGCTATGTATAAACTAGTAATGTAAAAGGTATATGTATTTATATAATAAGTAACTAATCCATGATTGTAATTAGCATTCGGTGGAAAGAAGAGCAGTTACCTAAATAAAACAACAGAGACAAACATTAGAATATACACAAATACAATCCATAAAAACATATAGGTATTGCTATGTATGCTGTGTCTAAATTAAGGAAAGATTTAGAAGAAAAAAACACAAAAATAATGTTTTATGTATAAAATGCACACTTGAATTAAATATCTAATAAAAAACTTTTCAATCAAGCAAAACCAAACACAATGTGAAAAAAATAAATAATGCGCAAGACCATACTGATAAAAATATATATGTAAATACAATTAGCAATTCTGAATTTAAGAAAAACCCACACAAATAATAAATTACCACAAAAATGTTTGTTAAAAATATGTAGTCATGCATACGGATGCCTCACTAGCGGAACAATATCCACTTAAACAGCAGAAAAACATAATCTGAACATTGTATATCGATTACCTGTTCGGCAATTAAGCGGAGTTTACATTGGTATAGTTACTTGCACCAGTTACTTGTACAAGTATATCCAGGACAGTTCACATACGCAAGTTGACATGCTAGTAAGTGTTTACACATAAAAATATTATTCATTTACCAGTTCCCGACGAGCACCAGATGCGTAAAGATGAAACCTTTCCATTGCCGGCGCCGTGCTTTGTGCAATAATTCAAAATTAATAATTAAAAATCGCATTAAAAAAATTATGTTGCGTATATCGAGAATTTTAATTGAAGAAGCTGTTAATTTGATTGAAGAAGAAAAATGTCGTCCAAAAAGGATATGGGTTCGAAGGTGGATTGATAGAAGAACTACAAGAGGGGCATCCACTCTTCTTTTAAAAGAACTTCGTATGGAAGATCCTGAAGAATATAAATTATGCCTTCGGTTGACACCGAGTAAATTCAAATACTTGCTAAATATGGTTCTGCCTAGAATTCAAAGAAGTGACACACTTTTAAGAGACGCATTACCAGCGCACGTTAAACTAGAAGTTACCCTCAATTTTTTGGCAACAGGAAATAGCTATAGAACTCTTCAACATTTTTTTAGAGTTCCAAAAACATCAATATCTAAGTTTGTACCAGAAGTTTGCGACGCAATTTATGATGTACTGAGTGAATATATAAAGGTAAGTTAAACATTTTTTTTTTCTACAGTAAAACGTCGATTAACAGGACTAATTAAGACCAGAGGGATTCAGGATAACCAATCATGTTCTTATTGTATAGAGAGTAATATTTACTTAATTTTTCAAGTATCTTAGATAGTACTTATACTGATGCTGGTACTTATTATAATTTTTCAAAAATACTTATCCTTATTACTTAAGTATATTTATTTCGTACTTGCAACAGCTCTGGTCGAAATGTTGGAAAGTGATCATTGTCTTTACTCAAAAACCACGGTTTATTAACAAAAATTTACATTAAACATTATTCTAGAAAATGCTGATGGTCTAGAGGTGACGAGGGTAAATCGTACATTGTAGGAGATGAAAAAGGTGATTGCTGTACAGAAGATAGCGTGGGTGGATGCGGACTAGAAGATGGCGGTGTCGGTGGCGGCGGTAGTTGGTATCCAGGAGATTGCGGCGATTGGAACGGTGGTTGAATTGAACTCCAATTGGTGTAACCAGAGGAATGGGAAGATCCAGAAGGACTTGGTACATTCTGTGGATATGGTGATGGAGCAAGAGCCATGCACCTATAACGAGTCAGTGTACTTTGTAATTCATTTTGACATTGCAGAGCCAAGTGTAAAGGAAGCTTCTTTAGAGCGAGGATCATATATCTTCCAAAGGCGTCAAATTCATCTTCCTCATTTCCAGATTGCTGTAAGGCAGTATTAATGTCACGAAGCTCTGAAACAGCGGTTGATAAATCCTGGTATCGTCTTTTTGATCCCGCTTGGAAACTGCGTCCTTTCTCTTTTCGAGAAGTTTCTTTAAGGTTAGAGCTTCGACACTCAGAAACTGCAGATGTTGATGGGGTTTCAGAAATTACAATTGATGTTTCTTCAATAGTACCAGATTCCAATTCTAGGTCGTTCTCTGTATTTTCTACCGTTTGTCCAGCTGGTTGCGTGTTCTGAAGAGAAAGAAAAGTGTAAATAACTATCATAATAAAACATTGTATTCTTATAAAAAAGAGACTGAAACGTTTTCTATTCAGAATTATTATTTTTAGATCCCCCCCACTTTAGACGCTTGGAATCAAATTGAAAGAGGTTTTCAAGAAAGATGGAACTTTCCTAGGTGTTGCGGGGCCATCGATGGTAAGCACATATTAATTCAAGCTCCTCCAAACTGTGGAACAGAGTTTTTTAACTACAAAGGACATAATAGTATTGTCCTCATGGCAGTTGCAGACCACAATTACTGTTTTTCCTACATCGATGTCGGATGTAATGGAATTGTATCCGATGGAGGGGTTTTTCAAAACTGCTCGATATACGAAGCTTTAGAAAAAGGCATACTTCCAGAAGGGACTTGTTTTGTTGGTGACGATGCATTTCCTCTAAAAACGTATTTAACTAAACCATTTAATTCTGTACCATTATCAAAAGAAGAAAAAATTTTCAATTATCGTCTGAGTCGTGCAAGGCGTATAATTGAGAATGCATTTGGTATTCTGGTTAGTAGATTTCGAATATTTGAAAAAAAAATTGCTTGCAAATTGTCAACTGTTGATAAAATAGTGAAAGCTTGTTGTGCGTTACATAATTGGTTACGTAAAACCGATTCAAACACTTATTTTACACCAGGATCGTTTGATGAAGAAAATATAGATACGGGAGAAATAATTCCAGGAAGATGGAGATCTGAAATGACAAATTTAAGAAATCTTGCAAAACCAAAATCCGGTTACAAATCATCTAGACTTGCTAGAGAGTTCAGAGATTATATTAAAAGATACGTTAACAACGAAGGCGCAGTACCATGGCAAGAAGCAAAAATTTACTAATGTGTTAGTGTTATTAATAACTAGTATTATAAATAACTTTAATAATTAATATTAGTTTTATTTAGCGTAGACTTCCTTCGAGTCAACATAGCTTTAAAATGTGGGGACTTCATTTTCGTAAGTAATAACTGTGATAATATTCTATTCTTAAATAAATACATCAAAGAGCTCGAATACACTGCTTGCCATTTTTGTAAGCAGATATTTAAAAAAGACCTATGGTGTATATTCTTAATAAACAAATATAGTTTACTAGGATAGGATAGGAAACATGCTACATTTTAATAAAATTTGGTATTGTTTCAAGATAAACGGGTCATCCTGTATATTGCGGTATAATAAAAATTAGAACACGTAGGTATTTAGCTTCCGAAAATTATTCTCAGAATTATTGTTAA